GCCGCACCCCAATCCCTCCCCGGGCGCCAGCGGCAGACGGGGGTGGCGGGGGGGGGAGAGGCACGAGTCAGGCAGACACACAGACAGACAGACGGACGGACAGGACCGGGAGGACCCTGGGCGCGCCCCGTGTCCGGAGCGGATGGTGGGAAGAAGAGGCTTTCGGAAAAGGAGGAGGGATCGGGGCAGGAGGAGAGAGCAGGTCCCTTTTGCCCCATCCCCCACCTGGAGCCGGGGCAGCGAGCTCAGCCAGGTGTCCTTGAGACCGAAGCCGGAGTTAAACCCTGCAGAGAGAGGGAGAGCGGGCAGATGCTGTCGCCCGTGGCCTTCTCCCGCCTCCCCACACGCCTACCCCAGGCTCTTACCGATAACCAGGTCAGGTTTGGGCCCCTGGAGCAGGTGGTAGGGCCGTGCAGACACCTTGATCTGCAGGTCCCTGCGGCCCCCCTTCTCCTTGGTCCCGGAGCTGAGCCGCCCCGATACCCCGGAACCAGGACGGACAGACACTTCTGGGCCATCCTGGGGAGCCAGGAGCGGAGTGGAGAAAGGGCTAGACGTTAGGGCACTGGGAAGCTGCCTTAGGCAACACAGGGGAGAGCGGGAGGGAGGCGGGAGAGCAGGCCCCACCCCCACCTGCCCACCAGCCCTCACCCTCTGCAGGGTAAAATGCTGCTGGTCACTCTCAGGGGGCAGGCCGTCGCCCACAAACTGCAGCTCTAGGGCCACGTGGGGGAGCAGGACCAAGAGCTCCTGAAGGACAGAGAAGACAGATCAGGGGCTCACCTGGCACGCACCTCCACGTACCCAACCTTCTGTCCCGGAGGGACTTACCCAGAACACCATGACCAGGTCAAACTCCTTCCCGGCCTCCACCACGTGGATTTTCAGTGACTGCTTGTTCTGGATGTTGAGCTCAGGGACTGGGGGAGAAGCTGGCCACTTAAGAAGATGGTCTCCCTTCCCCTCGTCCCCCTCCAGCCCCCTGCCCCCTTGCCCCCTGCACTTCTGTCCCCCTGCTCGGCTCTCCTTACAGGACTGGGGCACCAGGTGGGTGATGACATAGTACACAGTCAGCGGGTAGGTGAGAAGCACAGCCATGGGGGAGTCCAAGCCGAGGCCCCTCCACGTGTAGTAATCCTGCCATGAGCCTGGGGAGAGTGGGTTACTGAGGGACCTGGTCCAGGCCTGGACCCCAGCCCCTCCAGTCTAACAGCGCCCTTTTTCTCCGCCACCCAGACTGCGTCCTCCGGTCTCTGTCTCTATCTGTGGCTCCCTTAAGGCCCCCCAGCTCACCAAAGAGGCTCCTGGGTGGATCTGGGGGCACAGGAGGCATCAGGGCAGGCCCATCCCCCTGGAGAAGCTGGTAGGGATCTCCTGAGAGGAAGGAAGGAAGATGATCCTGGTGTCAGACCCCCATCGAGCCCTTCCCCCTCTTCCTTCCAAAGGAGTTGTATTCCCCGGAGCTGTAAGCAAGAGCAGTGGACAGTGGCCTGTGGGTGAGGCTTCTGGGAAGGGGCGGGCAGGGGTGACTTCCCTGAGGACTGGGGATACGTCTACGATAGCCCTGGGGGTGATGGTGGAGTTTGGTGCTTATGCAGAGGCGTTATCTGGGATCCGGACAACTTGTTTCTCTCCCGTCCTTCCCTCTAGGCTGAGGGGCCCGTGCCTGAAGAGAACCCCACAAACCACTGAGAAGAAGACTGAGGGATGGCGTGCTGCCCCGGGGGTGCCTGGGCGTGCCAGGGCCTGGAATCAGCATGCTGAGCTGGGTCCAGTAGCCACGAGTGAGGCCCCGTGAGGCCAGGAAGGCCTCCTTGTTGAAGGTTTCACTGGTCACCTCTGCAGAAGGAGGAGGGGAGGGGTTGAGGGCCTGGTGGCCAGGACCCCAGACTACAGCTCTGCTCAGTTTCTCCCAAGGACCCTGGGTCTGAATCTCGTTCTGAGTGTCTACAGCATAGCAGGTGTAAACACCACAGAATCCTTAGAACGATTTTCCGGGCTTGAGCATTTGTTAATATACTTATATTGCAGATGAGGAAACAGAGCGTCTAAAAAGTCAAGTCACCAGTTAGGGGTGGAGCTGGGCTGCCCGGATCCCCTGAGCTCCCTCAGGGACCCAGGCACACACTCCTCAGCCCCAGACCCTGTGTTCAGCTCCAGGGGTCTAGTCCCCAGCCCTTGTTTCTGGGATCCAGCCCCCAGCACTACTAACCCGTCAGCCCCAGGACCCCGTAGCCGCGCACCCAGCCCCGGTTCCTCCCACCCCATCTTGATCTCCTGGTGGTACCTGCGGCGTAGGTAAAAGGCAGAGTTGCCAGTTCTCCGGCACGTTCCATGAAGGCCGCGAGCCTCGGGCACCAAAACCGGTGGCTCACGTCATCCGGACATCGCCGCCAGTCGGCCCGGAGACAAGACTCTCCGCAGTACAAGACCGCACTACACTGGGGGCTGGGGGCACGGGGGGGTGGGGACACCCGGCGTTAATCTCTGGAGGCCCTCGGTCTGCTGTCTGTCCGTCCTGCAGCTGCCCATATATCACCTGGTCTGTTTTCCTGTATATTCTGCTGTCAACAGCTGCCCTTTCCCTCCTTTTACTTCCCTGTCCCCCATTCTGTCTCCCGGGCCCCCCAGCGGCCAGCTTTGTCTTGTTTGCCTGACTGCTGGGGTCTTCCTCCCTGTCACCCCATCTTTCTGGCTGCTCACCAAGGTGTCAGCTTCACTTCAAAGCTATGTCTGCGACAGACGTGGCAGGTTCGAGCCCGAAGGGAGGCAAACGTGAAGCCTGGCCGGGGACCCCATGTCCGCATCGGCGTCTTGGCTAACTTCACTCCCAGCCTCGGGACCAGACTCTCCAGCTCTCTGAGTGGGGGTGGAGACGGAGTCAGCCTCGGGGTTGCTCAGGAGTCCAGACCCCTAGCTCCCCCCACCCCTCGATCCCAGATACTGGATTTCTGTACCGATGCAGCTGGGCATCTCCCACAGTCAGCTGTCGGGGCTTTCGAGGGTCTCCGGAGCCCATGGGGCAGGCCATGCTGTGGCAGAGGAGAGCATAGGCCCGAGGGGCCAGGTTCTCTGGCCCGGAGCCCTTGCCTGCACTGCCCTGGGCTCCATCCATTAGTAGGTCAATGCCCAAGATGGTGCCATGTTCGTCTGTTACCAGCAAGAGGCAGGAAAGGTGCAGGGGGGCAGCCTCTGGGGAAGAAGGGGAAAGTCAGGGGTGTGAACACAACACCAGGCCTAGGGGGGCTGGGCAAGTCAACAAAATGAACAGGAGGGACCAGGGAGAGAGGACGTGACTCATCTGCTGGGGCCAACTGCTGCACAGGCAGAAATGCAGGCCTGCTGTTGCAACTTTAAATGTTTCTTGAGTTTGTTTGGCTTTTAATTTCAATGTATAAATGTTGGCTCAAATTTAAAAAAAAAAAACAACAAACAAACCAAAAACCAAAAAACATTGTGGGTCAATGAAAACACCTTTTCGGGCGACATCAGCCTGCAGGCCACCGTCAGTGACTCCTGGCCAGGCTCTGAGAGGTATAGGAGGTCTTCCAAAGCGGGGGGAGGGGGGGGCGTGCAGAGAGGGGTCAGGGCAGGGCCAGGCCCCCACCCCGGGGTCTTACCACTTCTCTGCCCCTTCCTCCTCTCAGGGACTGCTTCGTCCTCTGCCTTATCTTCTCGGCAGCAATCCTGGGCACCTCCTCCACCTCCTGCCTCTTGCTCCGGCTCCTCTGGCCTCCCTGGAGGGTTTGCTTCCTGCGGGGAGTCCCTGCTGGTAGGGGCAGGGGCCCCATTTTTGTCTGGATCTACCTTCTCCAAGCCTGCACCCTCCTCCTCTCCATTCTCTTCCTCCTCCTCCTCCTCCTCCTCCTCTGCTTCCTCCCCTTCCTCCAGGCTGACAAAACTGACATAGGGGCTTAGGTCTCGCAGGTGGAGTGGGGGCTCATCTCCCAGGAACTGGGCAGCCCCCAGGCCCGATCCAGGGCCTGGCTCTGCTCCTTGCCCCAGGCTGATGCCCACATTACGGTTGGGCAGAACATGCAGCACCCAAAGGGCGGGGTCCTGGGGCAGCCTTCTGATCTGCGTCTCCAGCTGGCGCCAGCGGCCCTCAAGGCTGGCCCCCACAGCCCCGCGCTCCGTCGCGAACTTTCGGAACCAGCCAAACAGGAGGGCAGCGAAATCAAGGAATTCATCCCGGTATCCAGATACAAACTCCATGTCTTCAGGGCCACAGGGGCCTGGGCCCAGACTGAGCAGAGGAACGGATGTATGGTGAGGGGAGTTTGGGGCCGGGTCACAAGATGGGGAGGGCGTGGGTCTGAGGGTCACGTACGAGGGGAACCTCTGGATTGGAGGAATGTTAGGAGCAGAGGCTAGTTTGCGGGGCTCAGGGTGGGAATGGGGAATAGACTTGGAAGGGGGCGAGGAGGCTTTAAGATGAGTAGTCACGAGAGAGGCGGTATTGGGGGTTCAAACCCTCAGGACCGGGGTTCGAGCGGTGAGCAGGTTTGGAGGGCCAACCCGAGGGGAAGGGTTTGGGCAGGAGGCAAGACTCTGGGATCCGTCGGAGCCGGGGCATCCCTCCGTCTTGGATCGGTTCGGCGGGGAGCCCCAGGGGACCCAGCCCCTCCCGGCCGCTCCGCTCCTCCGGTACCTGCAGCCGCCACCACTTTTCGAAGGTAAATACCTCG